CCGACCCAAACCCATCGGTTCTCGATTCGAGTACCCGTTCGGGTATTTAATTTATGAAGAACCGCTCGGTTCGGTTCTGTTTGGTTCGGGTTCGGTTCGGTCCGATTCGGTTCGGGACTTTTAGACACTCCTACCAAAAACCGACCCAACCCAACCCATGCCCACCCCTACATATAACATATTGCACGTAAAAAATATTGAAGTACTCTACAACTCCAATGGTGAGGAACTAATTGTTTTACTTGAAGGCCCAATGTTCAATTCCTTAAACTCCAAAAATTTTAAAAGGCAATTTTGAAAATCGGTAAACCAGTTGAGCTAACTCAGTCAAAACCGCTGATTAACTCGGTTAAAGCCAATTTTTAACCGAGTCATGTGTATTCATATTAAATTAATCTACCCGGATTGGGCAAGGGCCTGGGTCACCGATTTTCCGGCGAGACCGTCCGATCCAGGCTGAGTTTTATAACTATGTTCATATGTATTATTCTTTACAACTTTTGGTTACAACATATAGAATACAAACAGGAACTGAATAAGGTAACTATTTAAACATGGAAACAATGAGATTTTCCTAATCTAAATAAGGTTGTACAATTATAGAGAATCAATTCCATATTTCCAGAGATTAATTCACGGGAATTCTACACTCCCCTCAAGTTAGATCATAAATGTTGACCAAGTTCAACTTGCTAATGAAATCCCGAATTTTTTGTCGGGGTAGTCTTTTGGTAAAGATATCCGATATTTGTTCTTTGGTAGTTTCATAGGTCATGCATATAATCTCATTTTCAACTTTTTCCTTGATAAAGTGTCTGTCCACTTTTATATGTTTGGTTCGATCGTATTGAACTGGATTGAGGGATATGTTGATAGCTGCTTTGTTATCGCAGTAGAGTTTAATTGGAAGTTTTACCACAGCCTGTAATTCTTCCAATAATTGTTTTATCCACAGTCCCTCGCATATTCCTTGTGTGACTATCATGAACTCAGCTTCAGCACTACTTCTGGCTACAACATTTTGCTTCTTGCTTCTCCAAGTTACCAAATTTTCCCAGACAAAGGTACAATAACTAGTAGTTGATCTCCTATATTCTCTTGAACCAGCCCAGTCTGCATTAGTATAGACTTCTACTACTTTCTTTTCATTTTTCTTGAAGAATAGTCCCTTTCCAGGGGTACCTTTAAGATATCTAAGAATTCTGTATACTGCTTCTAAATGAGCTTCCTTTGAAGAGTGCATATGTTGGCTTACCACACTAACTGCGAATACAATATCAGGTCTAGTGTGAGAGAGATAGATTAGTTTACCAACTAGTCGTTGATATCTGTCTTTTTCAACTGATTCTCTCGTATTTTCTTCTTTTCCTCATATCTCCATTGGTCGTCGCTTGGTTTGCATCCAAGCATGTCTCTATCCGTTAGAAGGTCAACGATGTACTTTCATTGTGAAACACTGATACCTTTTTTTTTATCCAACCACTTCCATTTTCCTGCTACGGGTGAGAGTGAGTCGTCTGCAATTTTGACTTTAATATTGCCAGCACAAGGTGAATATGTGAAAAAAAACGTGGTAAGAGTTCGTCATGTAATCTGACGCACCTGAATCAATAATCGATGGAGCTTTGGAATGGGTGATTGTGTGTAATGCTCTAAAAAAATTACCTTTGTAAGCTAAAGAACTTGACGGACTAGGTGACTGAAAACTCAAAAACAATTTGTGGAGCTACTCTAATTGTTCAAGATTGAATGTACCACTTTGAGTAGATTCATTTTTTTCTTCAATCGGATCAACACATGCTTGATACCCACGATTCCTATTATTTTGCCTTGGTTTCCAATCAGTTGGTTTTCCATGTAGATCCCAACAAGTATCATCTTTATATCCCGGTTCACGGCAGTGATCACACCAGGGACGTCCCCTTTGTTTTGCAACAGACCCATTTCCTATAATTAATGAGCCCATTTCTTTTGGTCCATTCCATATGGAAGATTTTATACTTGGTCCTCTATACATGGGAATGGACCCAGATTTTTTTAGCACTTGGGCAGACCCATTAGGCCCAATCCCTTTAGAAATTAAGGCCAGTCCACTTTCTTCTTCCTCCATCTCGTCATTCTTCCATGTAAACATAATCTTTCGACGATTTTCCTCCATGCGCACTTCTACAAAGACCTCCCGCGATGATGGCAGCGGTTGACGGCTCAGAATTCTCTCTCTCGTATCCAAGTTGCAATTCAGCCCATTTCTCTTTGTAACGCACGTTGTCAGCCAAACAATCCCACTTTTCATCCTTGTTTTGCTCGAGATGAATTCATCTCTAGGTAGTATTCTATCACATCATGGTCTTTCGGTCTCGTTTGCCACAGTTTGGTTTTGATTTCGAATATTTGGGAAAAATCTTCTATGTCAGAGTACATATCACAAACAGCATCCCACACGTCTTTTGCTATTGGAAGGAAGATGTATGTTTTCCCAATTGTGGGTTTCATGAAGTTAATCAACCACGAAGTCACTATTGAATTTTTCAACCTCCATTTCTGTAGAAGGGTAGCGTCAGTTGAGGCAGGTTGCCGCTTCTCTCCGGTAAGATACCCAGGTTTTCCTTTCCCATCGAGAATGAGCTTAATTGATTAAGCTCATTCTCGATAATTTTTCTCGTTCAATTTCTCAACAGTTAACTGGAATGATGTGTTATCCATTTCAATTGAACCCATAGACTGGAGGCATTCTACCTCATTGATTTGAGGCTCGGGTGTCTTCGACTAATTGTTGTTTTCAGTTTGTTCTTCCATGGGAAGTTGATGGCTAGGTCATAAACAACTTAGCTCTGATACCATGTAAGTTGGAACACAGAGAATAAATGTTTTCTTTATTCATATGTATTATTCTTTACAACTTTTGGTTACAATACATAGAATACAAACAGGAACTAAATAAAGTAATTATTTAAACATGGAAAAAAGGAAATTTTCCTAATCCTAATCTAAATAAGGTTGTGCAATCACGCAGAATCAATCTCATATTTCCAGAGATTAATTCACGAGATTTCTACATATACTTCATTCTTTTTTAGTAACACACACACACACACACACACACACAAAATCACATGGTTCTCTTAATCCTTGTAGATTACCATGTCGTTTAGATAAACTTCATTCTTTTTGTTAGTAAAATACATACATACATACATACATACATAACAATTTCCTTAAAATGGATTCACTCCATCACCGTTAGTGCTTGAGGTCTTGTTGAGCGTGTCTCCCAAGATACAATGAAAAAATCAGTAAAAACTGAGCACTACAATTTTACACCGTCGAACTGATAAAAACCGAAAACTTATTGCAGACAGAAAATTAAAAACTATACATGGAGAAACAAAAGGAAAATCGAGTGTTGAATATGGAAAAAAATGTGAACCTTATTATCGGGTAATGGTCTATGAGTGACATGAATGGCTAACCATTGCAGGTGTTGCACTATTAAAATAACGTAACATTGATATGAGAATATGACATGAATGGCTAACCGCTGCAGGTGTTACACTATTAAAAGAACATGACAATATGACATGAATGGCTAATCGCTGCAGGTGTTACACTATTGAAATAACATAACATTGATATGACAATAATAAAAGATTGCAGGACTAGTCTCAATTCTTCTTAAAAGCGCACTTCAATCACTCGAAGAGAGCAATTGAATTGCCCTTATTCTATTCCTTCATTGGATTCAGGAATAACAAGTCGAGATCTAGCTCTATTTAAATAAAAATGATTCCATACTTCAAAGTCGAAGTCAACAGGGTTGCCAATCTTGTCCAATAATAACAGTCTCCTTAATTCCATAACCACTCTTAACATAAAGAATAAGCCACTGGTTGGCATGATTATGATGTTTTAGGACCGGATAATTAAAACAGCAACAAATTACAAAGAAATCAAACCCCTGTATCTGAGAGCATAACCCGCGATTGCCTGTCTTCACCTTTCCTGCGGAAATGTCTCAAGGCAAGATGACCTGACCCTGTGATTTTCATGTACAAATTACTGTTTGAGATTCCAGATATACTGCCCCATTCACTTGAGTAAACTAATGGAAGCTTGACGTGGTGATACATAAATGAGTACATTGAAAATAAGATTTAAATAATGTACATGGTCCTCTCTAATAGAGTAATAGCTTAAGCTTTTAGATCAATTGGTTCAAAAGGGTGTTAAAGGTGACAAAAGTCCTTGGTTCGAGTTTCACTTCCACCCATTTAATGAAACTGTGCACATGTGAGGATGGGGAAAAATGAATCTCGCCTAGACGTGAGGAGACGAGATTCAAATAATGTACATGTGACTTTTCATAGCTTAAACGTTTATATGAAATGGTTCAACACAATAGAATCAATAACAATAGTAATGTAATATAACAAAATAATAACTTGACGCTAGAGTGGGTAAGGCTTGAGACAGGCCATATAATGTTCCTAAGAGGAGAAAAGCTCGAAGAGCAGCAAGATTTCTCCACAAGGTTCCCGAAGCCCTTAAAGGGATCCTGCAGCTATTCTTTTGTCATTTGTCAGCATATTATGCTTCAGAAAGAATCAACTAGAATGGGGATTTTGGGTTTGGTAGAACTGATGTTCTTGTATCAGCCCTAAACAGGATTTGGATGTGAAAACCATATGCCGTGCTTTGTTAATCATTTGACTTTAGGTGGCTAATGTAGATATCATATATTTAAACCGTAAGTGAAGAGCCTCTAGTAGATTTTAAGGATTTTTCTAAGATGGTTCATAA